ACGCACTCACTGACTCACCACAACTTCTCTCACACTGCTCAACTTTGGAATTTTCTCCCATCGTCTCGCCCCCCCCCCCCCAAGCTCTCGTAATAATAACCTCGTTCAATTAATGGAACGTACTGCATGCTAATATATTCACAACCTCGACAGTCCTGTTCGTTGCTGGCAGCTTGACGTTTGTTCGTGGGCCCTTGTGCCCAGTAACCGTGTGAACCCATATCTACGTCCAGGCTGTTTTTGGACATCGGCTGTCCCCCCAGGATAGGAGTGGTGGATGATCGCCGCGTGATTCGGGTGGAAGGCGGCAACAAATGGGCGCGTGCGCCCAAAGGGCCTAAACAACAAACGGCACTCATGAAAGTTGTAATTAATATGGCAGCGTGTAACGCGTCTCGTGAAGTGAGCGAGGGTTCATTGTTAGGAAAAAGAGATGGATGGCGGGGAATTTCACAGTGGGAGCTGTGCGAGGGAACAATTAATAGAGGTGTCCGTGACCTGCGGTGTGGCGGTATGGTCCTGTAATTGGGATGCGGCAGGGATGGCCACACTGCGACGGCTTCCGCACACAAACGCTCCCCTTCAGTCTCACACTCGCGCCACAACTCGAGACTTAAAATCATTACGCCAATATGAGGCGCCTCCCGTCCGCATTCACACACAGGAGCACAGAGACACCACCGATTCACGTCATACGAATGGCATTGCACAGAGAATTCTGCACTGCAACTGAAGTGTAAGACATTGTTCAATGTATCCCAATGGAAGCCGGCACTGAACCTGCAGTTGGGGGGCCTTACCTCGGAATGTGAGTTTCCATTTTGAGTGACAGTTTTTAGTTTGGGAGGAAGCGAGCCGTGGCAGGATGGGGCTTGATGGGTAACGCGTGGATAGTAGCGATGCCCCCCTTCAACGTAAACCTTTGGTCGGACTGCCCCTTGCTACGGGCGTCTTGCTGGGGGTGGCTCTGTCAACGTGGCCGGCATGCCAAGACAATCCACGCAGCGAAACCTTTCCAGGCACTCACTACCGCACGTAGCGACACCGTAGACAAAGTAGACAAGCAGGAAACTCGTCTCCTTCACGTGTGAGCCTCTCCGCATATATATTTAAGTCTTGTTTATACAGCCCATTGGCTCCCTGACCTTCTCGGAGTGGATCATTTCAGCAGCATTGCTGCAACACAAGCAGTCTCTCGTGCCGGGCTCGACATGCACTGTCTGGTCTGCAGTTTATATCGTGAAAAAATAGGCGATGAGCATTTCCAATGTGGCCTTGCATGCTGAGACACGACTCTAATACAGTGATTTGGAAGGGCGATTGGCGACTTAGGCAGGGAGAGTGTAAAATGCCCACTTACAGGACTCGGTAGACCCCACAGAACGACGTCCTCCGTCTTACCAGTGTGCGCAAGTCACAGTACAGCTTCACAACAGCCAGCTGTCCACGTGCTCTGTCTTGATAAAGAAAGAGATCGCCCCACACAAAGCCTATCCCTTTATTACAAAAAAATCCTCTAAATACCCCTCCTGTCCGCCCTTCCAAAAGTAATCATGTATTCTTGATTAAGAACCCTTTCTTTCAGATGTTTAATCTCTTCATATTGACCGTGGTCTCCTTTCTGATACTTCCTGCTTACCAAAATACACAGGCAGGCAATACCACTCCGCATATATATACAGTACCTGTCGATCCACGTCAACGTTGAAAGTATTTTTTCCTGCATCCCATTGCCAGACACGGGGCTTCTGAGAGTGAATCTTCTCAGCAGAGGACTGAATAAAAACTGTGCTGAAACTCAGTGGGGGTTTTTTTAGGGATTCGCATCACGAGACAAATGCCCAATTCAGAATTCCCGCCTGACCCGGTGTTTGAGAATCAAACACCAGAAGGAGATTTCAGAAAGAGCCACTTTCCACTAAGCTAAAGTGACGTACACACTTGACAATCGAGTTTATTCATAGGCAGCTACCTAAACTAAACTGCTTTTACCAGGTAAATCCCACTGGGATATTAGATATTATTCAGAGGTCACCTGGCCACACGTGATAGCTCATCAAAGTACGTGGGCATTGAGAGTCGGAGCCAAATAATCTAAACGCGCGTTTCTAAACGTGCAGGGCAAAACCGGAGGACCCAGAGAAAAATACATGAGACCACCACGAGGAGAAATCAGTTCGCATATACGACACACATTGTCAGGGTCAGGATTGAATCCACGCCTTCCTGCGTAGCAGGCGAGGGAGATAACATCTCACTACCGTCACCTGGATTCAAATGTATGGCCTCAGTAGTGCCAGCTCGGCACTCTGACCGGCAAGCCTCGGGGATAATTATTTCATCTCAAGCTCATGTTGCCACTAAAGCCACATTTCATGATGTCGAATGCAACACCTGTTGTCTCCATCTAGAACTCTCCTGCATAAAAAGCAACAATTTCCAGTGCCTACGTATGTACATTGTCGGTTGTCGCTCTAGTCCTTCGGGGACAAGCCTTTGTTTACCATTTTATAGTCGGTGTTGTTCTCCGTATCTAAATTGTGCAGACCTCACACGCAAAGCTAAACCGCTCTCCGAGGCTATGCGGATTTAAGAGCGCTGCTGAATGCCAGCAAATGCACTGCGCCCACGGTGACGCTCAATAAGAAAACAAACATCGACTGCGTTGTATCGCCGCCAGATTCGTCGAGGTTCGTCTAAACACACCCGTCTTCATACTACCCCCATTGGTATAAATGAAGTGATACAAGGGTCAAGCGGTGCTCGTTTCCCGAGGATCTGCTCCCATATCGCTCGCGCTGAGAGTGCAGGCGTTTCATATCCCCGTGTCCTTTGCAGCCGCTCAATATTACCTGGCCTATACCACACGCCAAAGCCAGGTGGGCTGCATTAATTTTCCATGACTGCAAAGGACCTGGAGAACTGACAAGAGCATTCCACCCACGCTCTGAGCCCTGTCGTCGGCCTCGCCTTCTGTGACAAAGGGGGGTTCGAGCAGCAACGCGTGCAATCAGCACTGGTGTTACGCCGACTGGCGCAAACGGATACTTGAGTGTAATGGTTGAAGCAAAGCTTTAAATGGCCTAATTGCCAGCTTGCTCGCCACCGATATTGTTTGCTCAAGGTGGGTGGGTAATTTCCCCCAACGTGCAAATGATAACGTGTGAAGAATGATCAAAGTGCGCTCCCCCACCTGATGAAAAGCCGAACATTCAGACCGTGCGTCATCACTCGACAACACGGCCATTGTGAACTGGTGTCAGAGTGCAAACACAAATTCAATGTTCACTCAGAGGATGTTCTTGCTCAAATGATCAAGGTGCAGTGCTAGTTGCCACTGATGGATATTACAGGATATCTGTAGCTGGACCGTTTTCCCCATTATAATAACCGCTGCTCTTTCCCCGCTGGCATTGGTCCAAGCAAGCCGTGCAATGCTGATGAAACACTGCATGTTGAAACTAGTCCAGAGTTGGCTCATGTTTAACCAATGCTGCTGATAGGCCATGTGACTGATAAAATGCGTGCAATTAATATTGTTTTTGTGGAAGAATTACGTGAAGGTGTATCTGTTGATTTATTTTATTACATATGTGCGATTTGGATTATATGGGGAGCAGTAGTGCGGTGGCTAGCGCGCTGGGCTAGAAACCTGGCGACCCGAGTTAAATTCCCGCTTATGGCCAACACCAGTGACAATTATCTAAACCAGTCCTGAGTCTCCCCTAGGTCGACTCAGACTCAAAAGAGTACCTGGTATGGTGGGTAAACATCGCCACTGGGGTGACAAAGGAGGCCGGGCGTGGTGCTGGCCACCCACCCCCTTGTGTGCCTTGCGCGCCTTCATAGGTGCTCACTAACAGCACTTGCCCCAACAGCCTGTTAGGGCTATACGGGGGGGGGGGGATCTTTGTCTTTGTATGGTTACGTAGTGCAGGAAAGGGAAAACGGGGGCCCCGTTTCAGCACTGATTGTTTATGTGGTGGGTTAGGGGGTGTATGTCGGTCCCCCCTGGGTTTCACCATAGATACCCAATTAATGTACGCATTCGCACGTTTTTTTGCGAGTCGTTTTATTCAGCAGAACTATTCAAATCTGTTAAGTGAAACGCGTGTGCGCGCGAGTGTGTCTGTGCGTGCGTAGGTGCCAAACATACACAAAGGCGGCAAAGACCTGCAATTGGCAAAGTTTGCTTTGGTGTCAAAAAGGGGGTCTCACCTGTCAAGGGACGGCAGATGTGACTGCATCACCTTTTAACACTGTCAGACCCGAGATGACGACGGATGCCAAGCGTTTACTCCAGTAGCGAACAGTGGGCTCTGTCGTTGGCCTGACATTGATAACGTCCGGGGGTTTATCCTTCCGGAACAATAAATTCATAATTAATTGCGCCACGGTGGCGAGATGTTAACTACCTCGCCAGGTATACAGGAGGTCATGGGTCCGATCCTGTTTCTGACGCCTGCTGTATATTTGGAGTTTGCATGTTCTCCGCGTGGTCGCATGGATGTTTCTCCAGGTCCTCCAGTTTTCCATCCACATTGAGAATCAACGTGCGTTTAGAGTATTTGAGTATTGGCTGCTATAAATTTCCACGTGATAATACACTTGGTTTAGGTATCATTTGTGGCCAGGTCACTTCTGAAAAAATAAGCTGATAGTTCAGTGGGCTTTACTTGATAAAATAACAAATAGTTTAGTTTAATTGTTACATTTTTTTGTGATTTGCTTACCTTTTTATTGTTTGTTGTTGTAACGTTCTGACCCGCCCCTACTAGACATCAGTAAAAAAATATTGCTCATTGAATTCCTCCAATATCATTCTGATTTCGCATTGTCAGACTGAAGAGAACGACGATGCGATGTGTATACTCCAATAGCAAACAGTGGCTTATTTCGTTGGCCTGACAGATTGGTAACGTCGGGGTCTACCACCTGTGTTTGTTCTGCCGTTGGCCTGGCAGATTGGTAACGTCGGGGTCTATCCCCTGTGTTTGCAGGATCACGACCACGGCCGCTTGCATGATGGACCTGCGGAGGTACCCACTGGACGAGCAAAACTGCACCCTGGAAATCGAGAGCTGTGAGTGTCACCGCACACAAAGCAGCGGTCACCACGACCTCTTCCATCAATCCACATCCCGAATAAAGGCCTCGACGCTGACAACAATGTCAATATTACCGTACAATTGCGATCTACCACGCTTACGGTTGTCATATATTACTCTACGCCAAGGCTCCCTTGTATATAACGGCGTTATTGTCTGTGTGCATGAACTTGGTTTAAATAAAGGATCGTACACATGCAATCCCACGTCGTTTTTATTTTATCACCCTTGTTTTTTCGGATAGGTGAGACATACAAACATGCAATGTAATTTTCAGTATCCCTATCTTCTATGCAACTGCTGCCGATCCTGCCACTTTTGCTTTGAAATTAAAGATAGGGCTGCCCTTTAGAATCACGTATTTCTTTTTACTTTTAAACGTCTTCAGTTTTACCTATTATTTTATTCATATCTACATTTTAAACATATAGGGCCATGACCATTAAAAGCATATCAATATTTAAATCCCTAATTTAATATCCAGGTATTATGAATTTATTAAACACCAACTCTCCTTTCATCTATACCCAGTGCAGAAGCTGGCGATGGTGGGGAGTCGTAGTGTGTGTTGTGTTGGCGTGCGTTGTGTTGGTGTGTGTTGTGTGTGTTGTGTTGGTGTGTGTTGTGTTGGCGTGCGTTGTGTGTGTTGTGTTGGTGTGTGTTTTGTGTGTTGTGTTGGTGTGCGTTGTGTGTGTTGTGTTGGTGTGTGTTGTGTGTGTTGAATTGGTGTGTGTTGTGTGTGTTGTGTTGGTGTGTGCTGTGTGTGTTATGTGTGTTGTGTTTGTGTGTGTTGTGTGCGTTGTGTGTGTTGTGTTGGCGTGCGTTGTGTGCGTTGTGTGCATTGTGTGTGTTGTGTTGGCATGCATTGTGTGTTATGTTGGTGTGCATTGTGTGTGTTGTGTTGGCGTGCATTGTGTGTGTGGTGTCAGTGTGCATTGTGTGTGTTGTGTGTGCTGTGTGTGTGTTGTGTTGGCGTGCATTGTGTGTGTTGTGACGGTGTGCGTTGTGTGTGTTGTGTGCATTGTGTGTGTTGTGTCGGCATGCGTTGTGTGTGTTGTGTGCATTGTGTGTGCTGTGTCGGTGTGCGTTGTGTGTTGTGTTGGCATGCGTTGTGTCTGTTGCGTTGTTTGCATTGCGTGTGATTTGTTGGCGTGCATTGTGTGTGTTGTGTCGGAGTGCATTGTGTGTTATGTTGATGTGCATTGTGTGTGTTGTGTTGGCGTGCATTGTGTGTGTTGTGCTGGCGTGCATTGTGTGTGTTGTGTTGGCGTGCATTATGTGTGCTGTGTTGGCGTGCATTGTGTGTGTTGTGTTGGCGTGGATTGTGTGTGTTGTGTCGGTGTGCGTTGTGTCTGTTGTGTTGGTGTGCGTTGTGTGTGGTGTGTTGGCGTGCGTTGTGTGTGTTGTGTTGGCGTGCGTTGTGTGTGTTGTGTCGGTGTGCATTGTGTGTTGTGTTGGCGTTCATTGTTTGTGTTGTGTTGGCGTGCATTGTGTGTGTTGTGTTGACGTGTTGGCATGTATTGTGTGTGTTGTGTTGACGTGTGTTGTATGTGTTGTGTTGTGTTGACGTGTGTTGTATGTGTTGTGTTGGCGTGCATTGTGTGTGTGGAATCGGCGTGCGTTGTGTGTGCTGTGTTTGTTGGGTGTGTTGTTTCGGTGTGCGTTGTGTGTGTTGTGTGCATTGTGTGTGTTGTGTCGGTGTGCGTTGTGCGTGTTGTGTTGTCGTGCGTTGTGTCTGTTGTGTTGGTGTGCGTTGTGTGTGTTGTGTTGGCGTGCATTGTGTGTGTTGTGTCGGAGTGCGTTGTGTGTGATGTGTTGACGTGTGGTGTGTGTGTTGTGTTGGTGTGCGTTGTGTGTGTTGTGTCGTTGTGCGTTGTGTCTGTTGTGATGGTGTGCGTTGTGTGTGTTGGTGTGCATTGTGTGTTGTGTTGGTGTGCATTGTGTCTGTTGTGATGGTGTGCGTTGTGTGTGTTGTGTTGGTGTGCATTGTGTGTGTTGTGTTGGTGTGCATTGTGTGTGTTGTGTTGGTGTGCATTGTGTGTGTTGTGTTGACATGCATTGTGTGTGTTGTGTCGGTGTGCGTTGTGTCTGTTGTGATGGTGTGCGTTGTGTGTGTTGTGTTGGCGTGCATTGTGTGTGTGTTGCGTCGGTGTGCATTTTGTGTGTTGTGTTGGCATGTGTTGTGTGTTGGCGAGCATTATGTGTGTTGTGTTGGCGTGCGTTGTGTGTGTGGTGTCGGTGTGCATTGTGTGTGTTGTGTTGGCGTGCATTATTTGTGTTGTGTTGGCGTGCATTGTCTGTGTTGTGTTGACGTGTGTTGTGTGTGTTGTGTTGGCGTGCATTGTGTGTGTTGTGTTGGCGTGCATTGTGTGTGTTGTGTTGGCGTGCATTGTGTGTTGTGTCGGTGTGTGTTGTGTCGGTGTGCGTTGTGTCGTTGTGCATTGTGTGTGTTGTGTTGGCGTGCGCTGTGTCTGTTGTGTTGCTGTGCATTGCGTGTGCTGTGTTGGCGTGCATTGTGTGTGTTGTGTCGGAGTGCGTTGTGTGTTATGTTGGCGTGCATTTGTGTGTGTCGTGTCGTTGTGCACTGTGTGTTATGTTAGCGTGCATTTTGTGTGTTGTGTCGGTGTGCACTGTGTGTGCTGTGTTGGCGTGCATTGTGTATGTTGTGTCGGTGTGCATTGTGTGTGTTGTATTGGTGTGCATTATGTGTGTTGTGTCGGTGTGCGTTGTGTCTGTTGTGTTGGCGTGCATTGTGTGTGTGTTGTGTCGGTGTGCGTTGTGTCTGTTGTGTTGGCGTGCATTGTATGTGTTGTGTTGGCGTGCATTGTGTGTGTTGTGTCGGTGTGCATTGCGTGTGTTGTGTTGGCGTGCATTGTGTGTGTTGTGTCGGAGTGCGTTGTGTGTTATGTTGGCGAGCATTGTGTGTGTTGTGTCGTTGTGCACTGTGTGTGTTGTGTTAGCGTGCATTGTGTGTGTTGTGTTGGCGTGCATTGTGTGTGTTGTGTTGACGTGCATTGTGTGTGTTGTGTCGGTGTGCGTTGTGTATGTTGTGTTGGTGTGCATTGTGTGTGTTGTGTTGGCGTGCAAGGTGTGTGTTGCGTCGGTGTGCATTGTGTGTGTTGTGTTGGCGTGCGTTGTGTCTCTTGTGTTGGTGTGCATTGTGTGTTTGTGTTGGCGTGCATTATGTGTGTTGTGTCGGTGTGCATTGTGTGTGTGGTGTCGGTGTGCATTGCATGTGTTGTGTTGACGTGTGGTGTGTGTTGTGTTGGCGTGCGTTGTGTGCGTTGTGTGTGTTGTGTTGGCGTGCATTGTGTGTGTTGTGTTGGCGTGCATTGTGTGTGTTGTGTCGGTGTGCGTTGTGTCTGCTGTGTTGGTGTGCATTGTGTGTGTTGTGCCAGTGTGCATGGTGTGTGTTGCGTCGGTGTGCATTGTGTGTGTTGTGTTGACGTGTGTTGTCTGTGTTGTGTTGGCGTGCGTTGTGTGTGATGTGTTGGTGTGCATTGTGTGTGTTGTATTTGCGTGCATTTTGTGTGTTGTGTCGGTGTGCATTGTGTGTGTTGCGTCGGTGTGCATTTTGTGTGTTGTGTTGGCGTGCGTTGTGTCTGTTGTGTTGATGTGCATTGTGTGTGTTGTGTTGATGTGCATTGTGTGTGTGGTGTCGGTGTGCATTGCGTGTGTTGACGTGTGGTGTGTGTGGTATGTTGGTGTGCGTTGTGTGTGTTGTGTGTGTTGTGTTGGTGTGCATTGTGCGTGTTGTGTTGGCGTGCATTGTGTGTGTTGTGTCGGCGTGCGTTGTGTGTGTTGTGTGTATTGTGTGTGTTGTGTAGGTGTGCGTTGTGTGTGTTGTGTTGGCGTACGTTGTGTTTGATGTGTGCATTGTGTGTGTTGTGCCGGTGTGCGTTGTGTGTGTTGTGTTGGCGTGTGTTGTGTCTTCTGTGGTGGTGTGCATTGCGTGTGATTTGTTGGTGTGCATTGTTTGTGTTGTGTCGGAGTGCGTTGTGTGTGTTATGTTGGTGTGCATTGTGTGTGTTGTGTTGGTGTGTATTGCGTGTGTTGTGTTGACGTGTGGTGTGTGTGTTGTGTTGTCATGCATTTTGTGTGTGGTGTTCGCGTGCATTTTGTGTGTTGTGTTGGCATGTGTTGTGTGTGGTGTGTTGGCGTGTGTTGTTTGTGTTGTGTTGGTGTGCATTGTGTGTGTTGTGTTGACGTGTGTTGTGTGTGTTGTGTTGGCGTGCGTTTTGTGTGTCGGTGTGCATTCTGTGTGTTGTGTCGGTGCGCACTGTGTGTGTTGTGTCGGTGTGCACTGTGTGTGCTGTGTTGGCGTGCATTGTGTATGTTGTGTCGGTGCGCATTGTGTGTGTTGTGTTGGCGTGCATTGTGTGTGTTGTGTCGGTGTGCGTTGTGTGTGGTGTGTTGGCGTGCGTTGTGTGTGTTGTGTCGGTGTGCATTGTGTGTGTTGTGTTGGCGTGCGTTGTGTGTGTTGTGTTGGCGTGCGTTGTGTGTGTTGTGTTGGCGTGCATTGTGTGTGTTGTGTTGGCGTGCGTTGTGTGTGTTGTGTTGGCGTGCATTGTGTGTGTGGTGTCGGTGTGCATTGCGTGTGTTGTGTTGACGTGTGGTGTGTGTGTTGTGTTGGCGTGCATTTTGTGTGCGGTGTTCGCGTGCATTTTGTGTGTTGTGTTGGCGTGTGTTGTGTGTGGTGTGTTGGCGTGCGTTGTGTGTGTTGTGTCGGTGTGCGTTGTGTGTGGTGTGTTGGCGTGCATTGTGTGTGTTGTGTTGGTGTGCATTGTGTGTGTTGCGTCGGTGTGCATTTTGTGTGTTGTGTTGGCGTGCATTGTGTGTGTTGTGTTGGCGTGCGTTGTGTGTGTTGTGTCAGTGTGCGCTGTGTGTGATGTGTGCATTGTGTGTGTTGTGTTGATCTGCGTTGTGTGTGTTGTGTTGGCGTGCGTTGTGTGTGATGTGTGCATTGTGTGTGTTA